GAACCTTATCTAAGCCTGCAGTATCATATTTGATATGTAAACTTCTAAACGTCTAAGAATCTAAATTATCCACGTGATCAAAACTTTGATGAAAATCCTGTTGCACATGCCTTCTGTTGTCTAACTGATAGTTTACCTTTTTTTAGTAAGTAAAAGGCCTTTTAGTATAATTCTAAAAACGTACTTCAGTTTGAGGTTTTTGGTAGTTTGGCCCTCTAAAAGCTTTAGCCTCTAAAAAGCATAATACAGATGCAAATACCATGTTTGGAGCATATAATATTAAAGATCGGTATTATAAACTACTGTCACGTCAGACCAATGTGTTCATAGACTTAAAATCTATGTAATTTTAGAGCAAAAAGAAGGAAATGAATAATGGAAGAAGTCAAACCAGCTTGTGAAAATGATGCTGTGTATGTGTTGGTTAACATGATGATCATGCTTAACTGAGTCAACAAGCACTTAAATAGTCAGTGACTGAAGTGACCATACTTGTCATGCCATACAAGATCCTGAACAATCGTGAAATGTGATACAGGTTCAAGCACGTACAGGTATGTATTAGGTAAAACCAAAACCTATGAAATACTACCGATGTCGTGAACATCACAAATGATGGTGATTCATAAACGAATCGTTCTTTTGAGTCGGATCTTTCCAGTGAATCGGTTGAACAGGTTCACAAAACCGGTCTAAACGACTCGTTGATTAATAAAAACAACCCAAAGTGAAACAGTAAAAGTGCAAAAACCTTGCGCAAAGTCACTTGTGTGTTCATTGAAAATGTCATACGAAATGTAAAGTTAGGCTAAATAACAAACAGGTCAACTTGATAACTTGTTATTCTTCCGGCTGTAAAGACGTTGGCAAATCTTACCTGTCGGTCGATGTGCGATCCTGTCCCAAACAGCATTAATGTTAAACAGTAACCGGCTGCTCTTTCGCCGATGATCCGCTGTTTGACTGGCCACCGAAAAAACCCTGGTAAGTTAACTAAGTAACTAGTCGGACGAGAGCTTACTGTGGTCCGCTGTCATACTGACGTACTATAAAATACTAACGTTTATGGCCAACACTGTAAACTTATTCCGACCAGTTCACAGCGTGAAACGAAAGCACAAAAGGCAAAGATTCACAAAACCGGATGTCTTGTTGCTATTAACATCGCTGCCCAATGTTTGAGGGCAATACTGTTTCAGCGCTGGACTGGACCACTGGGCTTCAGCGAACCCAGTTCTACGAAATCCCGGAAATCCCGGAGTCGGTACAAAATGGAGGCAGGAGGCCGAAAAAATCCGATTGCATCCGGAAAGCAAAAGCTGTAACTACATATGGCTAACCTTTTCCCCTTGCGTCACGTTGCAGTGGTAATGTGTCGCATCTGCCAAAACGCAAAACATTGTCATTTTGTTTTATTTATTTATTTGATGACAATGGTGACTAAAGGAACTACATATTTCTAATAATTAGTGTTGGGCTCATTACCCAAAAAATTTAATTTATTACTCATTACTAGTTATTCCTTTCAAAAGTAATACTTTACTTATTACTTTCTGGCAACAGTAATTAGTTACAGAACTAGTTAGGCTACATTACTTTTCCTTCACGCCCCACAGAAGTTTCTGCCTCATCATTTGACCAAAATCTACATTTGATCGCATTCAGAAGTTATTACAAACACTCAATGGTGTTTGATAGTGTCTTTTAAGTAAAAGTGTTGTATTAATTGTCATGTGTAGCTTGAAGCTAATTGTAGATATAATTTCTCTGTTACCCAAATCTGATTATATTTCATGAAGTATTTTATCAAAAGAAATCACATAAGTTCATAACATTTTTAATTATAGTAATATAATTTATACCGGGATCAGATGGATGTGCGTGAGCATGCCAGAGTAAAGTAATGCCACAATGTTCTTAATGCCACAACTTAAATACATCCGTGTTTAGATAACCTTTCTCCTGACAAAATCAGTGTAATGGCAATATTTCCATCTCCTGAGCTTTTCCATATTCCAAGCTTTCCTGATACACTGACTTCATGTGCCTGTGTGAGTTGTGAAAATTATGAAAATAAATCTAGGAATTATTGGATTGTTATATTTCAAATCAGTAGGGGTTGAGGCATCAAAAGTAACTAAATAATGAGCTGTTTTATGGATGGTAACTGTAATATTATTACTGAAATCTTAATATTAATTAGTTACACTATAGTTACTGCATTAGTTACACTAAGTAACATTGTTACTGTAACTAGTTTTTAGTAACTAGTTACTGCCCAACACTGCTTATAATAACTTGTCAAACTAACCATAGATTATGGTTACAAGTAATTTTGAACAACAAAAGGTTTCGTTCATTTAGACCCGATATAGGCTAACATATTACATAATATTCTTGATTCTGAGTTTTCACGTTTTGATCAGTGAATTTCCATGACTTTAGCCTACAAGTATTTTTAACATCACTTATATAAGTTATAGTTAGAATATACATTGGTATCTCAGGTAAGAGATGTAAAAGGTGAGAACAGGACACATGACCCTGCAGGTTGGGTTCAAACACATGCCCACGATCACAACAGCACCTGATAGAGAGCGCACCCACCCTCCAGGCCACAGCTCCAAAACAGTCAGCAGCAGCACACACGAATCTACACAGTACAGTACAAAATGTGTTTGACAAAGTCCCAATCAGTAGGACATGCAAATAGATGACAGACAGAAGACCAATCACAATTTAGTATGCAAATAAGTCCATGGGAATTTTTCAAACTTTTAATCATACATTACTTAGCTCTAATTTGCTAACTCTTATATGTGAATCTTTTGGGATTTTTACTTCACACAATACTTTTTTGGTCAATTCTTATATGGGCCAGAATGTTTCTAAATAATACAAACACTGCTGCCCACGTTCTGTATGCAAAACAGCTTTCCAGGTTGGCCTTTAAATGATCATGACTGACTACGGTAGACTCTTATATACAGTCATGTGAAAAAGAATTCCATGGATTTCCGTATCAGGACATAATAATAATAATAAAAAAATATCTGGTCCTTGGCAGGTCTTAAAATTTGGAAAATAAAACCTCAGATGAACAACAACACATGATATATCACACTGTGTCATTATTTATTAAAAAAAAAAGTCCAAGATGGAAAAGCCATGTGTGACAAAGTTAGGACACCCTATGATTAAATTGCCTGTAGATCCACTTTTAGCAGCAATAACTTGAAGTCATTTTCTGTATGACTTTATCAGTCTCTCATATCGTTCTGGAGGAATTTTGGCTCACTCTTCTATACAACGTTACCAGTTTATTGAGGTTTGTGGGCATTTGTTTATGCCCAGCTCTCGCCACAGCATTTCAGTCAGGATAAAGTCTGGACTTTTGCAACACCATGATTCTTTTCTTTTCAGCCGTTCTGTTGTAGATTTGCTGGTGTGCTTGGGATCATTGTCCTATTGCATGACCCAATTTTGGACCAACTTTAAAGGGGTCATATGATGCGATTTCAATTTTTCCTTTCTCTTTGGAGTGTTACAAGCTCTTGGTGCATAAAGAAGATCTGTAAAGTTGCAAAGACTAAAGTCTCAAATCCAAAGAGATATTCTTTATAAAAGTTAAGAGTCAGCCACGCCTACCTAAAACGGTTCGTTCTAACACGTGTGTTTTTTTAACCTTAAACCACATAAACACATTTCATTACACCAAATACACAAAATAATGTTCTTTTTAGCAACATCATATGACCCCTTTAACTGTTGGACGGATGGCCTCAAATTTGACTCTAGAATACTTTGGTATACAGAGGAGTTCATGGTCGACTCAATGACTGTGAGGTGCCCAGGTCTTGTGGCTACAAAACAAACCTAAAATCATCAGCCCTCCACCAGCATGCTTGACTTTTGGTATGAGGTGTTTGTGCTGATGTGCTCTTTAGGTTTTCACCAAACGTGGCACTGTGCATTATGGCCAAACATCTCCCCTTTGGTCTCGTCTGTTCAAAGGACATTGTTCTAGAAGTCTTATGGTTTGTTCAGATGCAAATTTGCAAACCTAAACCGTGCTGCCATGTTTCTTTAGAGAGAAGAGGCTTTCTTCTGGCAAGCCTTCCAAACATGCCATACTTGTCCCATATTTTTCTAATTTAACTGTCATTAACTTTATCATTTAACATGTTGACTGTAGCCTGTAGAGTCTGTGGTGAAGTTCTTGGGTTGTCTGCCATTTCTTTGAGCGTTACACGGTCTGATATTGGGGTGAATTTGCTGGGACATCCACTTCTGGGAGGATTGGTGTCTGTTTTGTCTGTGCTGCCATGGTTTTTAGAGAGAAGAGGCTTTCTTCTGGCAAGCCTTCCAAACATGCCATACTTGTCCCATATTTTTCTAATTTAACTGTCATTAACTTTATCATTTAACATGTTGACTGTAGCCTGTAGAGTCTGTGGTGAAGTTCTTGGGTTGTCTGCCATTTCTTTGAGCGTTACACGGTCTGATATTGGGGTGAATTTGCTGGGACATCCACTTCTGGGAGGATTGGTGTCTGTTTTGTCTTCCACTTGTGAATAATCTTCCTCACTGTGGAATGATGGACTTCAAATTGTGTGGAAAAGGCCGTATTACTTTTCCCAGATTGATGGCAGCAGCAATTGCTTTTGTAAGATCATTGCTGATGTCTTTCCTCTTTGGCATTGTGTTAACACACACAATGAAGGCTCAGACCAGCAAACTGCCAAAACTTCTGCTTTTATAGATGTGCTCACACTTGCTGATGATCATTTAATCAAAGGCATTTGATTAGCAGTGCCTGACCGTTACTTACCCTCTTAAATCCCTTAAAACTTACCCTTGTTAACAGTAAGTGTGTCCTAACTTTGTCACACATGGCTTTTCCATTTTGGCTTTATTTCTGTTAAATAAATAATGACACAGTGTGATATATCATGCATTGTTGTTCATCTGAGGTTTTATTTTCCAAAATATAAGACCTGCCAAGGACCAGGTAATTTTTTATTATGTCCTGATACAGAAAACCATGGAATTCAATAGGGTGTCCTACATTTTTCACATGACTGCATATGCAGATTTTGTTATAATGTGCAAATACTCTGTAAATAGCAAGATATTTTTAAAGTAACATTCAAGTAAATACTTTTTTCAAAATAACTACTTTAAAATATTTCAATTACATAACATTTGAAGTATTCTACAACAACAACTGCTTTTGTATATGTTGAAACAACAATGTTAGTAGGAACATTTTAAAATGATTTATATACATCCTTCAAAACAAATCCCCCTAGCCCTGTGTACCTCACTGTATCACATGAGTAACTTAAAAACAAACAAACTAACAAATGGCAAGAAACAAGAGACATTCTCCAGACAAAACATTTTACATGTGTATGTATATCTCATCCACATTGCATTTATACATTACTGTAGCCTTTTACATAATTTACAAAATATATATGATTTACAATATTTAATCAGGCAAGATCCACATAATATTGTCACATATTTTATCATAAAGTTATGTGAAAAAAATATTTTTTTTATTTATATGAGCATAATGATCTATGATACTGTAAGTGCAAGTTTAACATCTCCTTTATGGAAAGGTTTGTTCATCAGTGTTAAGAAGTAGTGTAGAAAAAAGTTTGCTCAAGCTCATTTACAGCATCTTTAAGTTAGTTTTTAATATGCTATTAGTTTTTATCAGCCCTGTAAACATGAATGCCAAGGACAAGCTCATTCTTGTCTTCCACGTCCCTTCCTTTAAATTATCCTACTATATTAGTTTAAGAACGTTAAATTTCGACCCTTTCAAAGTGCTTTCTGGAACCTCCAGATCCATTGCATGTATTTGCAGATGTCTCATTGTCTGTCTGCCACTATAGCCAGTTTGCCCACTTCCCCATCCACCTCTTCTAGGCATGCCATTATAAGTGTAGCATATATCATCAGTAGTGTAATGACGTCTAGGAACCATTTTCCTATAATAACCTGCATTATCACCTGAACTTTGCATGGTATTCATTCCCATATTTGAATTTTTCACAGCTAAATCTTCTCTACTTCTTGAAACTTGAAATTTAGGCACTGATATATTGTTCCAGTTGCCATCAATATCAAAGTCACTTGCTTTTGTTTTATGATGTCTTGACCTGAGTGCCCCAGACATATCATTGTTGTAAACACCTGATGATGTTGGACCTACTCCAGAGATTCTAGTTTGGCCGGAGAGATGTTCTGGTATTGGAGACCACTGAGCTTTTGCAGAAACTTTCATGTCTCTGTTCAAGTCATAATAGGTGTCCTGCATGTTAAATTCTGGGGCACCATATTTCTGATGAGTCGGTATTCTGATGTCTCTTGAGAGATCATCAAGATCATACGTTTTGGCTGCCTTTGTTTTACCTCTTGGAACCGCAAAGCTGTTAGCATGCATTTCTGTATAGGTACCAAAATCTACATCAGACCCCAGGCCTTGAAAATCAGAGCTATCAATTCCTCCTTTGATTCGGGGGGTTTTGAGATCCATCTTTGGAGAGGTGAATTTAAGATCTCTTCCTTCTGGCATGTTTCCTTGGAGCTTCAGTTTCCCCGAAGGAGCATCAATGTCAAAGTCTGTTTCGTTCACATCAACACTGGGTTTCTTGAAATTTGGTCTGTTTATTTTGCCTTTAGGGAAATCAACATTCATGTCTGGGGCTGTGATATCTGGCTTATGAATTTTAGGAGCTGAGAGGTCCATTTTAGGGGTCTTTAAATCATAGTCAGGTTTCTTTATTTTGGGTCCTGAGAAACTAATGTCAGGCATTTTAAAAGCAGGCATTTTCATTTTACCAGATGGTATGTCCATGTCTGGAAGAGTAAGGTCTGTTCTTGGACCTTTAAGATCAACATTAGGACCATGGACTCCAATATCAGGACGATTAATCCCTGCATTTAGTTTGGGAGTTGATGCTCTCAGATTAAGGTCAGGCTGATCAATGTCAGCATCCACATTCATATGTGGCCCTTTTACACCTGACAGGCCAAAACTGGGCATCTTTAACTTTGGCATATTCAATCTACCTGAAGGGCCATTAACATCAATATCAGGTGTTTTAAAATCTCGGTTTAGGCCTTTCAAATCAGTTTGAGGCAGAGTCAGATCCATGTCTGTGGTATTGATTCCTCCCTTTATTTTGGGACTTTTGAGATTCAACTTTGGAGATTTGACTTTAAGATCAGGTCCTTCTGGCTTGCTGTCTGAGAGGCCCAGCTTCGGCAGTTTAAATTTACTTGAAGGTGCGTCAATGTCAAAATTTGGAATGTTAAAATCAAGATTGTTTTTTTTTAAATTTGGTCCTTTAATTTTACCTTTTGGGAAATCAACATTCATGTCTGGGACTGTAATATCTGGCTTATGGCCTCTGATGTCTGGTGAATCAAAGTCTGCCTTAAACTTTGGAGCTGACAGATCCATTTTAGGGGTATTCAGATCATAGTCCGGTGTCTTGATTTTGGGTCCTGAGAAACCAACATCAGGCATCTTGAGGGTGGGCATTTTCAGTTTTCCAGATGGTATGTCCATGTCTGGAAATGCAAGGTTGGTTTTTGGACCCCTGAAATCAGCATTAGGTCCGTGAGTGTCAATATCAGGACTATTCATCCCTGCATTTAGTTTGGGAGTTGATGCACTTAGATTAACGCCAGGCTTATCAATGTCAGCATCCACATTCATATGTGGCCCTTTCAAACCTGACAAGCCAAAACTGGGCATCTTTAACTTTGGCATATTCAATTTACCTGAAGGGCCATTAACACCAATATCAGGTGTTCTGATATCTAGGTTCGGGCCTTTCAAATCAGTTTGAGGCAGAGTCAGATCCATATCTGGGGTATCAATTCCTCCCTTTATTTTGGGGCTTTTAAGATTCAGCTTTGGAGATTTGACTTTAAGATCAGGTCCGTCTGCTTTGCTCCCTGAGAAGCCGATTTTTGGCAGCTTAAATTTACTTGAAGGTGCATTTATGTCGAGGTCAGGTGCATTCATATCAAGATTGGGTTTCTTGAAATTTGGTCCTTTAAAGGTACCTCTAGGAATATCGACATCTATGTCTGGGCCTGTGATATCTGGTTTATGACCTCTGATGTTGATGTCTGGTGAATCAAAGTCTGCCTTAAACTTGGGAGATGACAGATCCATTTCAGGGGTTTTCAGATCACAGTCAGGCGTCTTTATTTTTGGCCCTGAGACACCAAACGTAGGCATCTTTAAAGTGGGCATTTTAATTTTTCCAGAAGGCTTGTCAATGTCTGGAAGAGTACGGTCTGTTCTTGGACCTTTGAAATCAGCATTAGGTCCATGTAAGTCAATATCAGGACTATTAAGCCCTGCATTTAGCCTGGGAGTTGATGCACTCAGATTAAGGTCGGGCTGATCAATGTCAGCATCCACATTCATATGTGGCCCTTTCAAACCTGACATGCCAAAACTGGGCATCTTTAACATTGGCATATTCAGTTTACCTGAAGGGCCATTAACATCAACATCAGGTGATTTGAAATCTAGGTTTGGGCCTTTTAAATCATTTTGAGGCAGAGTCAGATCCATGTCTGGGGTATTGATTCCTCCCTTCATTTTGGGGCTTTTGAGATTCATCTTTGGAGATTTGACTTTAAGATCTGGGCCTTTTGGCCTACTACCTGAAAACCCAAATTTTGGCAGCTTCAGTTTACCTGAAGGAGCATTGATGTCGAGGTCAGGTGCATTCATGTCAAGATTGGGTGTCTTTAAGTTTGGTCCTTTAAATTTACCTTTAGGGAAATCAAGATTCACGTCTGGACCTGTGATATCTGGCTTATGACCTTTAATGTTGATGTCTGGGGAATCAAAATCAGCCTTAAACTTTGGAGCTGACATATCCATTTTAGGGGTCTTCAAATGATAGTCAGGTGTTTTTATTTTTGGTCCCGAGACACCAGCCTTAGGCATCTTTAAAGTGGGCATTTTCATTTTTCCAGAAGGCTTGTCAATGTCTGGAAGAGTAAGGTCTGTTCTTGGACCTTTGAGATCAACATCAGGTCCATGTACATCAATATCAGGACTATTTATCCCTGCATTTAGTTTGGGAGCTGATGCCCTCAGATTGAGGTCGGGCTGATCAATGTCAGCATCCACATTCATTTGTGGCCCTTTCAAACCTGACAGACCAAAACTGGGCATCTTTAACTTTGGCATATTCAATTTGCCTGAAGGGCCATTGACATCAATATCTGGTGATTTGATATCAAAGTTAGGGCCTCTTAAATCAGTTTTAGGCAGAGTCAGATCCATATCTGGGGTATTGATTCCTCCCTTTATTTTGGGGCTTTTGAGGTTCAGGTCTGGGGAATCAAAATCTGCCTTAAACTTTGGAGCTGACAGATCCATTTCAGGGGTCTTTAAATCATAGTCAGGCGTCTTTAGTTTTGGTCCTGAGACACCAAACTTGGGCATCTTTCAATGTCAGCATCCACATTCATTTGTGGCCCTTTCAAACCTGACAGACCAAAACTGGGCATCTTTAACTTTGGCATATTCAATTTGCCTGAAGGGCCATTGACATCAATATCTGGTGATTTGATATCAAAGTTAGGGCCTCTTAAATCAGTTTTAGGCAGAGTCAGATCCATATCTGGGGTATTGATTCCTCCCTTTATTTTGGGGCTTTTGAGGTTCAGGTCTGGGGAATCAAAATCTGCCTTAAACTTTGGAGCTGACAGATCCATTTCAGGGGTCTTTAAATCATAGTCAGGCGTCTTTAGTTTTGGTCCTGAGACACCAAACTTGGGCATCTTTAAAGTGGGCATTTTAAATTTTCCAGAAGGCTTGTCAATGTCTGGAAGGGTAAGGTCTGTCTTTGGACCTTTAAGATCAACATTTGGTCCATGTACATCAAAATCAGGACTATTTATGCCTGCATTTAGTTTGGGAGCTGATGCTCTCAGATTAAGGTCGGGCTGATCAATGTCAGCATCCACATTCATATGTGGCCCTTTCAAACCTGACAGACCAAAACTGGGCATCTTTAGCTTTGGCATATTCAATTTACCTGATGGGCCATTAACATCAATATCAGGTGATTTGATATCTAGGTTTGGGCCTTTTAAATCAGCTTGAGGCAGAGTCAGATCCATATCTGGGGTATCGACTCCTCCCTTTATTTTGGGGGTTTTGAGATTCAGGTCTGGAGATTTGATTTTAAGACCTGGAGCTTTTGGCTTGCTACATGAGAAGCCAAATTTTGGCATCTTCAGTTTACCTGAAGGGGTATTGATGTCGAGGTCAGGTGCATTCATGTCAATATTGGGTGTCTTTAAGTTTGGTCCTTTAAATGTACCTTTAGGGAATTTAAGATTCAGGTCTGGGTCTGTGACATCTGGCTTAAGTCCTTTAATATTAAGGTCCGGGGAATCAAAGTCTGCCTTAAACTTTGGAGCTGACAGATCCATTTCTGGTGCCTTCAAATCATAGTCTGTTGTCTTTATTTTTGGTCCCGAGACACCAAACTTAGGCATCTTTAAAGTGGGCATTTTAAATTTTCCAGAAGGCCTGTCAATGTCTGGAAGAGTAAGGTCTGTCTTTGGACCTTTAAGATCAACATTAGGTCCATGTACATCGATATCAGGACTATTTATCCCTGCATTTAGTTTGGGAGCTGATGCTCTCAGATTGAGGTCGGGCTGATCAATGTCAGCATCCACATTCATATGTGGCCCTTTCACACCTGACAGACCAAAACGTGGCATCTTTAGTTTTGGCATATTCAATTTACCTGAAGGGCCATTAACATCAATATCAGGTGTTTTGATATCTAGGTTTGGGCCTTTTAAGTCAGTTTGAGGGAGGGTCAGATCCATATCTGGGGTATCAATTCCTCCCTTTATTTTGGGGCTTTTGAGATTCAGGTCTGGGGAATCAAAAGCACCCTTAAAATTTGGAGCTGACAGATCCATTTCAGGGGTCTTTAAATTATAGTCAGGCGTCTTTAGTTTTGGTCCTGAGACACCAAACTTAGGCATCCTTAAAGTGGGCATTTTAAATTTTCCAGAAGGTTTGTCAATGTCTGGAAGTGTTAGGTCTGTTCTTGGACCTTTAAGATCAACATTAGGTCCATGCAAATCAATATCAGGACTATTTATCCCTGCATTTAGTTTAGGAGTTGATGCACTCAGATTAAAGTCGGGCCGATCAATGTCAGCATCCACTTTCATATGTGGCCCTTTCAAACCTGACATGCCAAAACTGGGCATCTTAAACTTTGGCATATTCAATTTGCCTGAAGGGCCATTGACATCAATATCTGGTGATTTGATATCAAAGTTAGGGCCTCTTAAATCAGTTTTAGGCAGAGTCAGATCCATGTCTGGGGTATCGATTCCTCCCTTTATTTTGGGGCTTTTGAGATTCAGGTCTGGAGATTTGATTTTAAGATCAGGCTTTGGAGCTGACAGATCCATTTCAGGGGTCTTTAAATCATAGTCAGGCGTCTTTAGTTTTGGTCCTGAGACACCAAACTTAGGCATCTTTAAAGTGGGCATTTTAAATTTTCCAGAAGGCTTGTCAATGTCTGGAAGTGTAAGGTCTGTTCTTGGACCTTTAAGATCAACATTAGGTCCATGCAAATCAATATCAGGACTATTTATCCCTGCATTTAGTTTAGGAGTTGATGCACTCAGATTAAGGTCGGGGCGATCAATGTCAGCATCCACATTCATATGTGGCCCTTTCAAACCTGACATGCCAAAACTGGGCATCTTAAACTTTGGCATATTCAATTTGCCTGAAGGGCCATTGACATCAATATCTGGTGATTTGATATCAAAGTTAGGGCCTCTTAAATCAGTTTTAGGCAGATTCAGATCCATGTCTGGGGTATCGATTCCTCCCTTTATTTTGGGGCTTTTGAGATTCAGGTCTGGAGATTTGATTTTAAGATCAGGCCCTTTTGGCTTACTACCAGAAAAGCCAAATTTTGGCAGCTTCAGTTTATTTGAAGGAGCATTGATGTCAAGGTCAAGATTTGGTTTCTTGAAATTTGGTCCTTTAATTTTACCTTTTGGGAAATCAACATTCATGTCAGGTGCTGTGAGATCTGGATTATGACCTCTGATGTTTATGTCTGGGGAATCAAAGTCAGCCTTAAACTTTGGAGCTGACAGATCCATTTCAGGAGTCTTCAGATCATAATCAGGTGTCTTTATTTTTGGTGCTGAGAGACCAAAATCAGGCATCTTGAAAGTGGGTGTTTTCATTTTTCCAGAAGGCCTGTCAATGTCTGGAAGAGTAAGGTCTGTTTTTGGACCCTTGAGATCAACATCAGGTCCATGAATGTCAATATCAGGACTATTTATTCCTGCATTTAGTTTGGGAGTTGATGCACTTAGATTAAGGTCAGACTGATCAATGTCTGCATCCATGTTCATATGTGGCCCTTTCAAACCTGACAGGCCAAAACTGGGCATCTTTAGCTTTGGCATATTCAGTTTCCCTGAAGGGCCACTGACATCAATATCAGGGGATTTGATATCTAGGTTTGGGCCTTTTAAATCAGTTTGAGGGAAAGTCAGATCCATATCTGGGGTATCAATTCCTCCCTTTATTTTGGGGCTTTTGAGATTTAGGTCTGGAGATTTGATTTTAAGATCAGGCCCTTTTGGCTTACTACCTGAGATGCCAAACTTTGGCAGCTTTAGTTTACCTGAAGGGGCATTTATGTCGAGATCAGGTGCATTCACATCAAGATTAGGTTTCTTGAAATTTGGTCCTTTAATTTTACCTTTAGGGAAATCAACATTCAATTCTGGGGTTTTGATATCTGGCTTATGACCTCTGATGTTGATGTCTGGCGAATCAAAGTCTGTCTTAAACTTTGGAGCTGACAGATCCATTTCAGGGTTTTTCAGATCACAGTCAGGAGTCTTTATTTTGGTTCCAGAGAGACCGAAATCAGGCATCTTGAAAGTTGGAACTTTCATTTTTCCAGATGGTATGTCCATGTCAGGGAGTGTAAGATCTGTTTTTGGTCCTTTGAGATCAACATTAGGTCTGTGAATGTCAATGTCAGGACTATTTATCCCTGCATTTAGCCTGGGAGTTGATGCACTTAGATTAACGTCAGGCTTATCAATGTCAGCATCCATGTTCATATGTGGACCTTTCAAACCTGACAGGCCAAAACTGGGCATCTTTAACTTTGGCATATTAAACTTCCCTGAAGGGCTATTAACATCAATATCAGGCGTTTTGAAATCTAGATTCGGGCCTTTCAAATCAGTTTGAGGCAGAGTCAGATCCATATCTGGGGTATCGATTCCTCCCTTTATTTTGGGGCTTTTGAGATTCAGGTCTGGAGATTTGATTTTAAGATCAGGTCCTTCTGGCTTGCTACCAGAGAAACCAAATTTTGGCAGCTTCAGGTTACCAGAAGGAACATTTATGTCGAGGTCAGGTGCATTCAAGTCAAGATTAGGTTTCTTGAAATTTGGTCCTTTAAATGTACCTTCAGGAATATTCACATCCATGTCAGGTGCGGTGATATCTGGCTTATGACCTCTGATGTTGATGTCTGGTGAATCAAAGTCTGCCTTAAATTTGGGAGCAGACAGATTCATTTCAGGGGTCTTTAGATCATAGTCAGGTGTTTTTATTTTGGGTCCTGACAGGCCAAAATCAGGGAAGCTGAAAGTGGGTGCTTTCAGTTTTCCAGATGACATGTCCATGTCTGGAAGGTCTGTTTTTAGACCTTTAAAATCAGCCTTTGGTCCATCAATTCGTATATTAGAACCATTAAGACCTGGAGCTACTTCAGGGGATGACAATGCAAATTTTGACCCCTTCATACTTCCATCATAACTAATGTCAGTATTCTTGTTTCCAGAGAGGCTAAACTTTGGCATTTTAAATTTTGGCTTCTTGACATTAACTGATGGTACTTCCATATCCATATCAGAAGAATTAAGCACTGCTTTTGGGCCTTTAAAATGTCCTTTTGTGAGGTGCATCACCGGAGATCCTTGGGTATCCGGCAATGTAAGACTTGAATCTGGTGTATTAATACCAATATCTACTTTTGGATCTGTATATGTTCCACCGCGTAGGTTGATTTCACGATCAACATTGGTCAAGTTCATTGTGGAATGATGCGATGGAACATCACTTGCAATATTGGGTTTGATCTTTGCTGATCTCACCAGGTCAGATCCTTGTAGTAACGTATCGGAGTCATATTGATGATATTCCATGTATGGTCCTACTTGATTGTCAGGTTCTGTTTCATATGGAGTGAGACGCATCTGATCTGCATTCTCAAGTAAAGCTGCAACATTTACTTTGCTTTTGCGGTCAAGTGTTTGGGTTGTCACTGGCCCCCTGTGTATGCCATGTCTGTTTTCCTTAACAGCTTTATTTCCTTTCATGAATTTCTTGACTTTAGCATTGAAGAGCTTGTCGTATGAATCTTTCCACACCTGTTGAAACATTTCAATCATTACAAATTCATTTGTTTGGGGGTTTTAGGATTCAGGGTTGAAAAACAAATGTGAATGTGATGTACACAGACCTCATTAGGAGCTTTGATATCCAGACTTTCCAAGCTCTTGCTGGATTTCAAACCATGCTTCATTAACTCCTTGTCATTATCAATTAACTTCAAAATGTCCACAGCTTCATTCTTCTTTTGTTCATTCCTCTTTAGATCAAACAGACCACTGGCACCTACAATTTCATCGTCTGAAATGAAAATGTAATGTGCAATGTAGTCTATTATAAACACTTTTCCTTATATTTTCACCATATCAACAAGGTTCATGGCAAAAGCCATTTTCTCCACAGTAAAAGTTTTCTGTAACAGAACCAGCAATCTGATGCTCAGTTAATATACAATGATATGAAAAAATATTTTTATTCAAATGTCATGAAACTGCACCTTCATGAAAGTGCACGTCCGTGTATTCCAAACCCTCTACAGGGACATCGTCATCTTCAAGCAGCAGGCTGTCAGAGAGGCTTCTTCGAAGAAGAGCCTGCAAATTAGATAATATCATGGTGTATTTTTTTTCATATTTCATGAAATTAAATGCATGTATAGAAAAAAATATATAAAAACCACAATTAAAGATTTTTGATGAGAAAAATAATAAAAACCACAAATGAAAGATTTTTGATGAGAAAAAAAATAAAAACCACAATGAAAGATTTTTGATGAGAAACATATACTGCCAACTGCACTACTAATATTTAATTATTAATTCATTTAACATTTATTCCTAATAATGACATACACATAGACTTTACAACATATTTGATAGATCACACAAACAAAATATAGTTCAGATACAGATTGGATAAAACAAAAAAGAGGTAACATACCATTTCACTAGTATGTATTTACAGTGAAGCATCCAAAACTCAAACCTGTTGATGCAAAATAAATGATTCAGCAGCAGCAAGACACCCAAGATTCAGTGCTAATTATTATTGACACATATGTAATTGTTAATGGTTGGTCATAATGCAATGACAGACCTGAACATGTGAACTATGAACATATGGGTCAATCATTGAATGAAAAATGTCCTTGCCTCAGAATGAAGCAAGACTGAGCAAACGGCACTAACTAAATTCAAATTCTGCATTTCTGCAAAGTCTGCATTTATCCCAGTGGCAAACAGACGAAACTGTGAGGTATTCAAGGAATTGTTCAGGGATAGTGTAACAAGAGGGCGTTGGGAACAGGTTAGGCCAGACAAAGGAAACTGTGAACAGACCTTACCTTTTTAACCACACCCTCTTTATTAAACATGCGTAATTGTAGAGGTACCAGGTCCACCCATGATCATCTGTAAGGGCACATATTTTGATAATCTGTTCATCTATTTAATTAAAATGGTCTCATTTCATTGAAACAGATTTCAAAAAGCATCCAGTAACTATTATCTACAGTATATCATCTATTTAACATGCACAAAACCAATTTATTATCCTGTATATTTACAGTAAACACAAATTAAAGGTACAGGACCTGAAAATGTGCTTCAGAATTTTTTTCAATAGTCAGTAACAATATTTAGAAAACATGATCCCCAAAAAAATAATGTTATTGTACTCATTCACAACTTTAAATGTCTTGTAACCATCACTGTGCAATACTTTAATATTCACAACTTAAGTGCAATTTGTAATATGAATACATTAAACCACTGTGTGAGCGCTGCATGGTCATTCATAAAAAAAAACAGCTGAACACCTGCGCTTGCTAGACGACCAAATTTTACCTTTAATACCATATGGGCTGTTTTACGCAACATAGCACAGTTCAAAGTACTGTTGTAAATTTGAACAACAATGAAACGGCTTACCTTGTATCCTATGAGCTTTTAAATCCTTGTTCAATATCAGCAGTGATAATGTGCCATGCTGAAGAGTTTTCACTTGATGTGACCGTGTTTACCTCCGTTCTCTTCTCACTGTTTATGGAATTCTCACCGCGGCAGGTAATACACTTGAAGAGTAGACCAACTGGTTTAACCAGGCCAAACACATACCTCATAAAAGCTTCAGCATCACCTGTTCTGCACTGGAGGCAGGGTGACATAACAATAACAAACCTCTCCCTAATTCTAGATTGATGGGAGGAAATCAAAAGGAATGGTTAAAAAAAGATTCAACTATGCACACATGTACTCCCACATGACTCATACAAGTTGGGAAACGGCCACCTGTACAAGGCGTAGTCACTCTCACCCAGGTTGATATGAGCGTTCACACCTCTAATGAAACCAGTTATGCATTGTAAATTCTCGGAAGAGAGAAAGCATTCAAACCACAGAAATAAATATTAGAACAGTTTGACTCTCACACTTTAGTTTGCAAGAATGAAAAAAAAATAAAAAAATTTTTTACCAGCTCCAAGAGGGGAAAACTACTTTGAGTAGATCCTCCTGAAGACAAATTAATAATTAAAAAATGGAAATCTGAAAACAGACCAATAATTAAAAACAAACAAACATTTACTTCTAAAATACATTTTTATCCATACAAATGTGACCATTTATAAAACAACAAACAATTTTCCCTGAGTTTTACATTGTTCTACATGGTATAACATACAGGTATTTGCACATATGCAATGTTTTTTGTCCATTGCACATGGACTCCAACTACATTCTTAGCTGAAAGTACAGTATTTTAAACTCAGACTTCCCCTCCACGTAAGAGTTTCTGGAAAACAGAGTCTTCTCTTTGGCACAGAGCAGCAGGGCTGTCAAACTCCACCACCTTCCCAGCATGCATCACCAGCACTCTGTCAGAGTCCATTATTGTATTCAGTCTGTGGGATAAGAAAGACTGGTTGGGTTTGTATGGTAACAGAGATGTTCTTGACAGGTATTTCAACTAAACAACATGTTAATTCAAAAAGTAGATGGAACAGGTAGAAGAAAATATGGGTCTCTAGGTTTTGTTTCTTTGAGTGGTGTTAATCAGACAGCAAGACACCCAAAAACTAAATTAAAGGGATAATTCACCCAAAAATGAAAATTAGCCTATGATTTACTCACCCTCAAGCCATCCTACGTGTATATGACTTTCTTCTTTCAAACGAATACAGTCAGAGTTATATTAAAAAAATGTCCTGGCTCTTCCAAGCTTTATAATGGCAATGAATGGGTGTTTAGAATGGCAATGAATGAATGGCATCCATCTATCATAAATCATACTCCACACAGCTCCCTGGAGGGTTACTAAAGGCCTTCAGAAGTGAATTCATGCATTTGTGTAAGAAAAATATCCATATTTAAAACTATACATCGTAATCTCTAGCTTTCTCTAACTGTTGTACACGTGTTCACGAGAGAGTGGTGTTCCAGTGGATGACGTAGGACGTAGGCGAACGCGAAAGCGCAGAGGAGAGAGCAAAACAAAACACTGGTCACGAATTAGAGGTAATTACAAATCTGAAAACAGACCAATAACTTAAAAAAAAACACATTTACTTCTAAAACAATTCCATACAAATGAGACCGTTTCTAAAACAACAAACAATTTTCCCTGAGTTTTACATTGTTCTACATGGTATAACATACAGGTATTTGCACATATGCAATGTTTTTTGTCCATTGCACATGGACTCCAACTACATTCTTAGCTGAAAGTACAGTATTTTAAACTCAGACTTCCCCTCCACGTAAGAGTTTCTGGAAAACAGAGTCTTCTCTTTGGCACAGAGCAGCAGGGCTGTCAAACTCCACCACCTTCCCAGCATGCATCACCAGCACTCTGTCAGAGTCCATTATTGTATTCAGTCTGTGGGATAAGAAAGACTGGTTGGGTTTGTATGGTAACAGAGATGTTCTTGACAGGTATTTCAACTAAACAACATGTTAATTCAAAAAGTAGATGGAACAGGTAGAAGAAAATATGGGTCTCTAGGTTTTGTTTCTTTGAGTGGTGTTAATCAGACAGCAAGACACCCAAAAACTAAATTAAAGGGATAATTCACCCAAAAATGAAAATTAGCCTATGATTTACTCACCCTCAAGCCATCCTACGTGTATATGACTTTCTTCTTTCAAACGAATACAGTCAGAGTTATATTAAAAAAATGTCCTGGCTCTTCCAAGCTTTATAATGGCAATGAATGGGTGTTTAGAATGGCAATGAATGAATGGCATCCATCTATCATAAATCATACTCCACACAGCTCCCTGGAGGGTTACTAAAGGCCTTCAGAAGTGAATTCATGCATTTGTGTAAGAAAAATATCCATATTTAAAACTATACATCGTAATCTCTAGCTTTCTCTAACTGTTGTACACGTGTTCACGAGAGAGTGGTGTTCCAGTGGATGACGTAGGACGTAGGCGAACGCGAAAGCGCAGAGGAGAGAGCAAAACAAAACACTGGTCACGAATTAGAGGTAGAGGAGACTGGTTTTCTTTTGTTGTAAACAAAACTTGATTCTCGAGAGACTAGCATAATCTCACCGGAGCTACCGCTACGTCTACGTCTTCCGCTGGAATGCCACTCTCTCAAGCGTACGACAGCGAAAGCTAGAGATTACGGTTAATAAAGTTTTAAATATGGATTTTTTCTTACACAAACGCATCGATTCATTTCAGAAGGCCTTTATTAACCCCCGGAGCTGAGTGGAGCACTTTTTATGATGGATGGATGCCCTTTATTTTGCTTCAAAATCTCAACACCCATGCACTGCCATTATAAAGCTCGGAATAGCCAGGGCATTTTTAAATATAACTCCGATTTGTATTCGTCTGAAAGAAGAAAGTCATATACACCTAGGATGGGGCTTGAGGGTGAGTAAATCATGGGTAAATTTCCACTTTTGGGTGAACTATCCCTTTAACCCTCAAAAACTAAATCTGAATTTATGAACTTCTCAAAGCAGTGATGAACTCGTCATTTTCTTTTTCTTCACTTAAACCTAATCATATACTTACAAGTAGGGATGTGCCCGAATAGTGAATCCGTATTCGGAAAGGCACGGAAAACGAACAATGCATTCTATGGAGCCACATTTTACTTACCACATAAACAGAGTAAGGAGAGATGACTGATAGGATGATAGGGAATGATTTGCAGATCCTGAGCACCACTGACAAACATCTAATATTGTAATATGTGTGGTAAGTACTGCCAATAAGTACTGTATATTTTTATTTGCAGTATAATTACCCAATGGTCTAGTTGTGAGAGAAAGCATTGAAATATATTTTTCCTCCCATCTCGTATTTATTCCCTTTAGGGGTTCTGTAGTATACGTCATTTACTTTCCGAACACATTATTCGGATTCGGTCACAACCCTACTTACAAGTAGCGTTAATGTTACCTAAAAATGCTTGGTAGTATGTTATAAACGCGACTGTTCAGTGCAAAGGTTAACAGAGATAGTTATAGTAATTTAAAAGGAATTAACAATCATAAAAGTGTTGTAAATATATTTTTACAATGTGGAAGCTATCTGCTCCGTTTTAATAAATGCCTCACAAAACTGTACACATAGGTGTGTTACTGTGTTCAGAATTTTTTAACAGAAAATCAGTTCCGCATCACTATAAAGATGAGTTGTACAAATAGATTTTTCCCTTCATTTTTATTCAATAAAACAACCCTACAAAGTTAATAAAAAAACACACATATATATCAAATCAAAATATCAAAAATCAAATGTAAATTATATGCAAGTATAAAAGCAGTTTGATACCTGTGGGCGATGGTAAGCACAGTTTTATCCTTGAATTTTTCTCTGATCGTTTTCTGTAGAAGCATGTCAGTCTTATGATCCACGCTTGCTGTGGCCTCATCAATGCATAAAATCTATTAGAGCATAAATGAACAATAAAGTACATAGTTAATATAAGAATAACAGACATTTGTTTTACATTGTTTATGTTCTACTGTAATTATACATTAGTTTTATACATTAGCTTCTGTGAGCAGAGCACGGGCAAGACACAGCAACTGCCTCTGGCCCACAGACAGAGACTTTCCCCTCTCTCCAACCTCTGAATCCAGGCCACCTGTAATGGGAGACAGAGAAAAAGCAAAAAAAAAAATATTTTTTTTTACATTTTTTCAATTAATATAAAAACTAATTATTTTCTCATGCCCTAGATAAATCATTTTAGTAAGAGGAATTTGAATTGAACAAGCTGAACACAATCAAAAGTGATCGACTCTAACCGATCCTCTGTACTACATCTCCCAGGTGGCATTGCTCAATAGCATCTAGCAAACTGAAGTCTGGATGAAGGCCATGGGGATCAAGGTTCTCTCGCACTGAGCTGGAGAAGAGGAAGGGATCCTGAGGGATGATGGCCAGCTTTGATCTATAGAGGGCGACACAAACAAAACAAATTCTTACTATATGCAGAGACCATATTAAAAACACATTGAAACCACACTGAAACACCTACTTTAAACCTGGAAATTATTTCTGGAAGTTTCAGGATTTTGAATAATTTAAAACGAAGACAAGACTTGTGCGCATTTTACAACATAAGTAGAATGTTAATTTCAGTTATTTTTCCTAACCGATTATCAACCGTTAACCGACAAGATTATGTTAAATTAGAATTAAATTAAATTCAAATGGATACGTGGCTGTGACCCATTAAAATATTTTTTTTTTTACATTTGTTACATTAAATTCTTACTATATGCAGAGACCATATTAAAAACACATTGAAACCACACTGAAACACCTACTTTAAACCTGGAAATTATTTCTGGAAGTTTCAGGATTTTGAATAATTTAAAACGAAGACAAGACTTGTGCGCATTTTACAACATAAGTAGAATGTTAATTTCAGTTATTTTTCCTAACCGATTATCAACCGTTAACCGACAAGATTATGTTAAATTAGAATTAAATTAAATTCAAATGGATACGTGGCTGCGACCCATTAAAATAATTTTTTTTTTTACATTTGTTACA